AGTGCCAAAAAAAAAAAGTATATATATATATTGGTTACAAATAATTTGTTAGTTGTTACAATCTGGATTTTACAGGCTAAATAAAAAGAAATTTTCAAGGCAATTAAATGGAGACTTTTAGGTTTGGAGAGATGGCTAAATGGGACTCCTATATATATATATTTGGGCAATTTGAATAACATCCCTTTTAATTAAGATTAGTCAAAACTTTTGTAGTCAATTAATAGACATCTCCTGTAATTAGAATCAGAGGGAATAAAAGCGCTTTATACCTGTAAGTGTAATCTTTCTTTTTTTGTCTTGGTTTTTTTTTCCTTCATTTTTTGGTTCTTTATATCACAGCTAATTTTTATTTTTAAGAGTAGGAATAGTTTATTGAGAGAAAGATAGCTTCTGTCTAAGAGACAGAGGGGGACTGGAAAATGGGTTGCCAAGGGTCATCTTTTACAAGCTAGTAATAGAACTGTTATGTGAAGCGAGCCAGGAAATCACCAAACACTGGGACAAAGGCAGAGTTAAAAACTGAAAGGAGTTTATTCACGGGCGTGGACTCCACCCTCTAGGAGAAGTGAAGCCCAGAAGCAGGGGACAGCACAGCTTTTCTAGGTAACTCAAACAAAGAAGCTCAGGGAGAGGCCAACATGTCCTTCAACCAGCTGGAGATTATCTTTCACAACCCAGCTATCTTGTCAAGACAGGACATTCTATGGCTACAGGGTTGGCAGTTACGGGGAGGCACCAGGCACCATCTGTTCTCAGGGAGTGATAAAGCATATCTACAGAAGCAGAGTGAACGATTAGAAGGGTGGTTACAAAAAATACATCTTTAAGAGAATTCCAGCACTCTGTAAGGGAAGGGTTATGAGGGGAATTTACTCACAGGCCAAGATGGCATTGCTTAGGTTCACTTTGGTCTCACAAGAACACTAGGACAATCTTGTAATTGTTGGATTAACTTTCTCTTCTCTCTACTTTCTGCTTACAGACTTCTGAAAATAACTATAACACAAGATTCTATTACTAATTGTTATAAAAGATTAAGCAGAAAGTAAAGAGAAAGTTAATCCTACAATTACAATTTAAGAATTTGTAATCTACAAGAAATGTTTCAAATACACCAATAAAACATCTGAAAACCAATCACCAATTAAACATTACTTTAAGTTGGAGATAAAAGGTACAAGGTACATTTGTCAATTAGCTAGAATTTATAATTTGATTACGTTTTGTCTTTTAAATTTCCCCTGCCTGGCTGCCAGCACACCTGGCCAATGGAATTTGTTAGTGTAGCCTGCCGAGCAAGTTGTTGATATGTAAATAGGCAGGGGAGAGCCCACTCCTGTGGGGGAGTGGTGAGTCAGCAAAAGCAGGAAGCACCTTCAAAATTTCTGCTACCGGTCTGCAATGAGGAAGCCCGCGCCCAAGTGGAGAGTTGGAATTTTTTTTTTTTTGGTACCTGGGATCGAACTCGGGTCCTTCTGCTAGGAAGGCAGGCAGCGGAACCACTGAGCTAAATCCCCGGCCCCAAGAGTTGGAATGTTTTTGTTCGTGCAAGGCAGAAGTTCGAGCTTGTGGCAGCGCAGAAAAAGTTGTGTGTTTTACTTTCGGTCATGTGGACAAAGAAATTGCTATAATACTTTTCTCAAGAGCACTGCCATCATCCTCACCACCAGAGCCACCACAGCAAGAGGCAGCAAGCTCCTTAATACATTCCAAAGGAGTATGAGGTTCAGATTGGTGTTCCCAATCCTTTAGTAGTGCTGTGGTCTTACCTTCCTCAGGGAACTCACATCCTTACTCCAGTAGGAACTCTCAAAGCACAAGTTACAACTGACTTTAGCCATAACAATCATGTTTAGAGAAGAAAGCATTGCTAGCAGACCAAGAGATTTAAACCGTTGTTTTCTAGTTCCTTGAAAGAGAAGAAAATAGATCAACAGTCAAATTAGGGCACTCTTCTGCAAAAGAGATCACCTCCAGAGATGGTAGGCCAAGGATTCTGCTCGGCCTAGGGGTGGAAATCTCAGCCATTCACCTGGGCAAGCGTTCCTGGCAGCGAGACCGGGCTACTGCTTTAAGATCCATTTCACAACATTCTTAAGCAATTAAGTCCAAATGTAACATAAAACAAGAAGAAAACATAATTCTACCAAGAGGGGCCACGCGGGTGGAATGACCTATTTTTTACGTCACGTCGTCTGCTACAGTCACACTCGAATTCATACACAGACATTCAGAGATTAAAACATTCTAACGCCCTTCCCTCAGGAGTCCCCCAAACTGGCAAACTGAGACCAAGACCAAATCAAAACAGGTGAGAAGCTTTCACTCACAATGAGAAGCATTCGTTCTCCTAGAGGGGCGGCCAGGCCCTCGTTCTGCCTCAAACTGGGGCAGGTCTAACTAAGCAAACTAGTGAGAGTGCCCTGGGGTCTTACCTCCTCCGACAAGCAAACCGTACAAAGCGTCCTTACTTCTGTTGAGTTTGGAGAGCTGCTGGTCCTCTGGAGAGACTCGGAGAAAGGACTCTGTGGGCGCAACATCTCTTCAAGGGACTGGGCAGGACCCCTGCCCTCTCCACAAGGGCTTCTACCAATGATCAAGTGATCAGCGCTGTCGATTCATCCCGGACAAGCCCCCAAAATGTAGCAGCAAAGTGCCAGCCAGTGTATAAAGTTCTAGTATCTACAGCTCAACACAGGTAGTCCAGGAGAATGGAAGATGCACCCAGGAGTCTCAGAGGCAAAGTGTACAGTTTTATTCCTAATGCCAGCAGGTTAGTCTGGGACTTTTCCACAAAGGGACTGACCCTGCCATTCAGCCAGAGCTGGATTGTTACACACTTAGGAAAGGGGAGGGTTTACAAGTTTCAATCCTTCATTTACATATGGGCCCAGCAACATTATTGGTTACAGAATTTCACATATAGTGGGATCATTGATTAACACTGTGCACTGAGTTTTATCTTATTTGCATATGGTGGGAAGGCAGAACAAAGAAAATTTCTGAGATCTTTGAGGGAGCTGGGCCCAGGCAGGCCCGGGCATGTTAAAAAAAATTGGAGGGAAGTCATTTTTCCGTCTTAGCAAGTCCAGCTTTAGCTACAGAGAAATTTATTTCCCTTTCAAAATAAGGAACTTAATCCACTTTTTTTTAAGTTTGCAAGTTCATTGATTCCCATAGCAGAAAAAGAATTTTCAGGATCTGTTAGTAAGAAAGACGTGAGAAGGATTTATTAGAGGGAGACACAGGACACACTGAGCTGAGTGAGGGTGAGATAGGATATTAGGGGATCACAAAGCTGGCTGGGGAAGTAGATGTGATCCATTAGTTACAAGATCCAGGACACATGGACAGAACAATTTTCAAAGCCCTGAGCAAGTGGCCTGGATCTGACATCAGCCTGAGGCATGGGAGCCCCGCACTGCTTTTCAGAACCTGGATGTGGAAGTTCTGTTGGGTTTCCTTGAGATTTGGACAACATATAAGGACATCAACTCCCAAAAGAGCTGGCTATCATGACGTTCTTCACAGTAGCCTTCCCTGCTTTCTCCAGGGTGTCCTTTTATTGCTTTTTCTCCTTTTACTTGGCCCAAGTTCAGTCTGCAAAGCCATTTTCTCCCTCATGTGGGACTGCATAACTCTGTAATCATAAAACCTCCTAGCCCCAACTGTGATTAAATGTGAGTTAATGGATAAAGATGCTTGTTAGTTTTTGGACACTAGATAAAATCTGTAACAGACCTAAAGTCCCAAAGTAAACTACTCAACTCCTTGTTTGCCTGGAACTGATGCCCCGGACACCACAATCTATAGAACAATCTGCAAATGTCTGCTGACCATCAGTACGTGACAGTCGACCACTAACCTTTGTCCCCTTTTCTTTAATTCTATATGTTAACTTCCTCCTCAACCCCCTATAAAAACAGCCTCGGACTCTGAGCCAGCTGCCTCTCTAAGCTATTTTGCTTTGGGAGTGCCATCTGGCCAGACTAATAAAGGTCTGTTTTACTTTCCAACTTGTCAATGTTGTGCCCAGATTACAAAGTCCCAAAGACCACCAGGAGGCCCTTTCCGATGTAAGCACACGAGGGTCATTTATTCAAGCTTAAGCAGGGACTCTCAATTGTCACCGACACAGAGGATCAAGATTGAGAGCCCCGAGTTCCAAATTAGCAGGGTTTTTATTGAGATTACAGCAAGCTTCAGTCATTAGCAGCCATATGATTGGTTAACATTTAACAAGTATGAAGTGTAGAATTTTGATTGGCTAGGCTCATTGGGGGTTGAAGGGGATTACGTATAGGTTTTTACAAGAAAAATGGGGACAAAGGTTAGTGGTCTACTGTCATGTACTGATGGTCAGCAGACATCTTGACTCATGGTCATGACCACCTTGTGTGGACAGTCAGCACATGGACAGATTGTCCTATAGATAGTGGGCCCGGGACACTTGTTTCTAGGGCACACAGATGGCTGAGTCATGAGCTTAGGAATCCCGAGTTACAGATCATGTCTTTTGTCCCAGATTAAGCACATTTAATCATTAATTTGAAAGAACAAAGGAGACTGCTCCATTTTGGACAAAATGGAGTCATTCTGGTCTCACATTAGCAAAATGGAGTCACTTTTGGTCTCACATCAAGTGTGTTCCTTCCCGGGTGTTCTTTGCTGCAGCCAGCTCCAGTCAGCTCCTCGGAGCATTTGGCAAGGCCCTCGGTCTCACACTCACTCTTCACTTTTACTTTCTTGAATAAACTTGTCCACTGCTTTTTGCTCATTTTGTTCAATTCTTCGTTTGAGATGAAAAGAACCTGGACATTAACTCCAAAGAGCAACCCAAAACCTGGTATGTTTAGTTGGCACACCACTTTTAGAAGGTGGAAATGATATCAGGAGAAGAGCTGCAATTCCTAAACCTGTTAGATAGCTGAAGTTTGAGTTTGTATTCTCTAAAATTGAAGAATGAATTCTAGGAACAGTAGAAGTTAAGAGTAGGAAAAATTTATTGAAAGATAGCTTCTGTCTAAGAGAGAAGTGGGACCAGAAAATGGGTTGTCCACTCACACAACTTCTCAACTTCTCAAAGGTGTTTTTTGGTTTTTTTGGTTTTTTTGGTACCGAGGATCGAACTTGGGTCCTTGAGCCTGTGCAGCAGGTGGCAAAACCACTGAGCTAAATCCCCGGCCCTCTCAGAGTTGTTTTATGGGACAAAGCCACAAGGTGAGGCAGGTTCAAGGTGGGACAAAACTTTAGTCAACTAGTAAGATTACAAGTACAGTGGCTTAGGTGATATTGATCCAATGAGAAATCACAAGGTGAACAAAACTATGAACAACCAACAAGATTATGAAAAGTATGGTTACTTAGGTAATGATTAAATGGGGATCCAATGGGGAAACAAGTCATGTAGCAAGTGTACAAGGAATGAGCAAGGATTTTCAGTGGTAAGGGGTGAGTCAGGGATCTTTCTTGGAAGATTTTGGTCCCCCAGCCAGGTGATGGACACCTATTTAGAATATCAATCACTGCAATTCATGCAATGCAGGTGTGGTAGTGTGGTAGTTTTTCTTCTTTTATAATGCTGACTTTCAGTGAATGTGTCTGGATTGTCCTCCACTGTCCTCCATCATGGTTCCTTTAGGGCTGGCCCTAACTGCCTACAAAATATCTAATTAACTTACCTATCTACAATACTACCTGATAATCTGAGTGCTCAGAGAAATAAGGCACAATACAGTTGGGAAAGGGGGATCTTTCCTGTGATTGGCCAGAGTCTGTGGAATTTGATGATTCTGTCTTATCTAGCGGGCAGGAGAAGATGACCCACCCATAGTGAGGCAATGGTCTAGTCCTATGGGAAATCCCAAAAGAGAGGTCTATTCATAGGTGAAAGAGGATATTTGCAAATAAAAGGAAATGGGCAGACCTATTTGCAGCTGCAAGGGGGTCGGCCAGGCCTGCTGTTTTGGGAGAAAGAAAAATAAATAAACTAGACTGTGTCCTGAAGTTGCAGTTTTTTCTTCAAAGTACAAATTTTAAAATCTTGATTGCCTTGTCTTCTTTTACCTGTTATTGGTGGTGTGTTTCTAAAAAGTGGCTCGCCAGCTAAACATTACCAAGTTTTGGATTGCTTTCCTGTCCTTCTGGAGTTGGCTTCCAGGTTCTTCTGGCCTCAAAGAATTGAACAAAATTAGCAAAAAGCAGTGGCAAAGTTATTCAAGAGAGCAAAAATGAAGAATGGGAGAGAAACTGGCTCTGCAGAGCAAGCTTGGACCAAGTAAATAGAAAAAGAGGGTAAGCAAAGATAAAAGTACATGCTGCATTTGGGAAAACATAGCATGGGATACCATAGAAAGTTACAGTAGCAAAGCCTTCATGGTGTTAATGTGTCCTTTTATGCTGTCTAAATCTGGAGGAAACCTTTGAGAACTTCTACATCCAGGTCCTGAGAGGTGGTGCTGGGATCCTGTGCATCAGGCTGATGTCAGGTTTAGCCCATCCTATTGAAAACTTGCTGGAATTCTCTTGAGTTTCTCACAGCAGGATGTCTCCTCTCCTTGAGAGTCCTGGTTCCCTAATGTGCTGGGGCCCTATGTTGGGTGCCAATTATTGTTGGAAATGAGCCCCAGACTCAAATTGTCAGTGCTGGAAAGAATGCACTCAGATAGCAAGCAAAAGGACTCCACAAAGCAAAGTTTGAATTTATTTCTGTAGAAGGGCCTGAGTGCACTCGGACCCGAGGTAACAGCCACACCAAGCGGGCAGCAAGTGGGGGGTGGTGGTGGTGGTGGTGGTTTTTAAGCTCTAATGCATGGGAAGCAGCTATCCTTTAGGTTTATTGGCTGAATTCAAAGGCTTACAATCTATTGAGGTTGGCTAGTTTTTTCATTTTTCCAGTACCAGGGATCCAACTCAGGACCTTGTACTTGCCAGGCAGGTGCGGAGCCACTGAGCTATATCCTGGCCCTAAGGTTGGCTAGTTTAAGTGTCAGGAGGGGAGGATCTGAAGGATTACTGAGAGGGAGGAGGCACTGGATGGGAGAGGGAGTGGGGAACAGAAAGTCCCTGGATATTGATAAGCTATCTTTGGCCTGTAGCTATGTTCCCAAAGTTAATTTCAGTGTGAGGGGTGGGGCCACCTATGATGGACTAGAGTCTAAAATGGAGGCACTCCTGTTTATCTCTTTTGATGGAAAAGACAGGGCCACAGTTTCTCATAATTGCAGTACTGTTAGTGACAGGCAAAAGGTAGAAACCACTTCAACTAACTGACAAATAGAAAAACAAACTGGTCAATCCAGAAAATAGAATATGATCAGGCTACAAAAGGGAAAGAAGGGCCAGAGATTTAGCTCAGTGGTTCTCCCGCCTGCCCCGCCTGCCTCACAAGTGCAAGGATCCCCGGTACCAAAACAAAACAAAACAAAAAAGGGAAAGAAGTACTGATACAGGTGGAAAGTAGGTGAACCTTGAAAATGTTTTTCAAATATATAGAATGTCAGGTAAAAGGGCCGAAAACCAAGACCAGAGCAGGCCACAACAAGCCTTTATTAGGGGAATAGATCTGCC